AGAGTCTTGTTGCTACACATAGGGCCTTCCAGCAGCCACCCTCTTGACCCAGAGCAGCACTCAAGGCACTTGATGTAGGTCCCCGCGTTGAGTCTGAAGCCCGCGTGTTCTTTTCTTCTCAAAACGATCAGAGTTACCTTACCTTCGTAATCACCATTAGACTCATCCAACTCTTTCCGAATTATCTACATTGTCCACAGATTGGCACCCAAACATTCTGAAATGTTCGTATTGAAGCTTCCGGTGCGAATGCCAAGCCGTACAGCATGCCGTTTCCAAATTTCTGGAGGAGTGATTTGCGTCATGGTTCTGTTTTTCTCACAGACGGTGCCCAAATGATCCTAAACATACTTTGAGGTTGACAAAATGAAAAACAAACAATGCGCAGGCGCGAAATTAGAAATTTAAAATGGCAACAATGTACCCATCACACTCTGTATATATCAATTAACTCAAATTGATTGAAACATCGACTACGATTTTCCCGTCACAAAAGTTGTCATTTCTTTTTGTTCTAAAAAAACATAATGCCTTTCTTTGAATTAATTTGTTTTATCCGAGTAAATACTTTGTAAAATACAACAATTTCAACAATGAAGATTTTATTCTATGCTTTTCATTCGGGTTACTATATTCATCTGACGAATACACCAAAAAATCAAGAGAAACGTGTTGGTTCGAATAAAAAGCTTACAATATTGATAATTTCTTATCTAAAACATTAGACATAAATTGTGAAGATTTTTAATATTGCATTGAAGGTGTTTTGGATGTCACCTATTTTGAACCGCTTGATGACCCGCTATACATTGATTTCTTGGAGAAAGTAAAGAACTACACCTTGGCCGTCCGTCGTATTAATGGAATCGAGGTAAGTTGCAAAACATTTGAACATTTGCTCGATTTTTATTTGTAATTGTTCTAATGAGCTTTTCTCTATAACCTTTATGAATTTAGAATGGCAGCCATGTCTTATCATTTTACAGTTTGCTAACAGCTTTTTCTCTCACACTTCTCGCTTGTTGAACTCTCTTCCGCCTTTTGCTATTCAGTCAACTTGAGCTTCAAAAATTTAAATGTAATCTCAATCATTATCTTCTGTCTTCTTAATTCTTGTTCTGTTATTGTTCTCATTACTTTTTTTTTCATCTTCTCTCTCACTCATTGAGTCCTAGTGGCTTTATTGCTTCGCTTGGAATGAAATTATTAAAATAAATCCCTTAAGACAATAACTTTCAGAAGAGTCGATTCTTGTAATATATACAATATTTGAACATTAATCTCCTTAGCGGCTATAAATTTACCGCCTATAGACGCATACCAAAACTGTGTCCATTATACCATTATTTAAACAAAAGTCTTTACCATTTGTCTTCTCTAGGAAAGACGAGTATCTGGAAATAATTTATAAACTTGGATTAATATAAGTTTCTTGATCTAGCTTGCGTATTATCTAGAACACAATCTGATACGTTTAAATGTTGTTGTATACAACGCGTTGTATTAATGAAAATGAATCATTCCGTTCTTCCTATTATTTTTCTTAGGAGGGAATTACTATATTTCTGACGATGTCCGTATTCTTCGTTACATACGAAATGAATGGAATCAATAAAAGGATAAAATAAAAAAAATATTTTTAATTATAAAAAAGAATTGATAAAAATAACACGTATTATAAAGTTATTGGTTTTAAATTCTGGTTTAGTAATTTTTAGCAATGGCTTGTATTGGTTTTTATGAGTTTAAATTTGAATTTGTCTTTTTGATGTATATTATTATGTGTGTTGTCAAAAGCTTTTCAAGAGATCAACATTATTACTTCGACATAAGATGAAAAAATCTATCTATATATAAAATTCTGTGACTTCTGTTAGCGACCTTAAAAAAAAACAAAAAAAAAAACAAGCCAGCAAAAGAAGCAACAACAAAAACAAGCAAAAAGCAAAACTAGGTGCGGAATACAAAGTTGAAAGTCGTTTTTTTGCTGATACTTTTGTACGCATTTAATAACTACTTTACCGGGCGATATTTAAATATTTTGCAATCAATAATTTTAATTATAAAACATCAGAAACGTTCCTTGCATTTTATTGTTTATGATCAGTATCTGCCAAGCAATTCGACGTGGGGTAATGGTTAGCAAGCTTGTCTCGCTAGATCAATTACGACTAAATAGCGAGTTAAATCCTCATTGGACGCCCCATACTTTTGTCCTTGTGCCACATCTAGGATACGCTTTGTAAATTACTATATTCTATTGAATTCCTGAAGCAAATTAAATTCTATTCACGTCTGAATAGTTATGAATATCGACGTAACAGAAACAATAATTTTTACATCAGTGGAAGTGTCAAGAGTCCGGAATTTTGCCTTGTTTACATAATGGAAACGTCTGGTGACCTAAGGTTGATTGACTGATTTGTGCTCGAATTGGAACTCGGCTCTTTGATTTCCAATTCTGAGCCGTTATGAATTACACCCGACGTACATCCAAACTTATAGTAACTGGTATTCCCAAACAGTCACCCATATAAGTACTGACCAGGCTCAACGTTACTTAAGACGACTTATGAAATTGTGACACCTACACACACACACACATTATATATATATATATATATATATATATATATATATATATATGAATCAAGGATTTATTTCAAGAAATTGTGTTAAATTAAATTGATGTTTTTTTTTAAAAATATCTATCAGATATTTATAATACGTATGAAATATTTGATATATTCGTTTCCAATATTGTCTTACTGAAAGAAACCGCTCAATAATGGGCGTTACATATACGACAAACATATTTAAATTTGAAGTGTAATCTCCTTCAAGCACTATAATTGGCGTTACATGTACGGCAAACGTTTATTTAATTTTGAAATGTAACCTCCACAAAGCTCTATAACTGACGTTGCATATGCGACATACGGGCATTTAAATTTGAAACCTAACTTTCTCCAAAATACTAGAATGTCGCAAACAAAATATTTGTCGACTGATAGTGTTAAGTTCTTCATAATGACCTCAGCGGTCGAAAATATTCGAGCAAAAACACGAATTATAACAGTTTGTCAACAATTTTGTGTCGGATGTTCCATAACTCGATTGGAAAATCAGAATATACAATAATAAATATACAGATTAGTCAATTGAATTAATTTAATTAAACTTAATTTTAAAACAGTTTTTATTGAATTATTGAAATAACTTTCAGAGTTGATTGTGAGCATATTTAATATACAATTGTCTCTACTGAATAATAAAAGACTCATTTATATTCTCGTCTCCGATGTTCTGCTTGTTCACCAATTCTCTTCTTTAATTTTCGAATTCCCGTTTCGTTGATGCGTGCAACGTATGACTTTTTTGTATGGAAAGAGACAAAAAAAAATCAAAGTTAATAATCCGACATGGGCGACAACAGATTTAAAATGACAAAAGAACGAACTCGAATATTAACATCTGTCATTTTTGGAATAATACTTAATTTGGAGACCCGGATCTCCTCGATATTTTCCCGAAAATTTAAAGATAGCATATATACATATATACATATATACAAACGGGTGCTGAATAATTCTAAGCCTGAGTATACTCTCCCAATACCTGATGCTTTGTCATTTGCTCATATTTTCGTAAGTGGGACAATACAAGATTTTTTTTCGCTGACAAAGGACACCGGCGTGCTCTAAAATTCTTTTGGACAATTCTTATCAACAATCACTGTATATATATAGCTATATATCTATAAAATATATATAAAACGCAGATAATGTAACTTTAGACAAAGCCACTATTTTAAAGTAAATAAGATAACTCAAAAATAAACAAAAAATCTAAATAAACAAATGAAATAACTAATAAACAATTTAACAAACTACGATTTCACACATAAACATATGTAAATGTAATAATAATAATAATAACCAACAACAATTAATTAATTAATCAATAATAAATAATGAGTAAAATGTTAACAAACAACACTATACAAGAGCTGCAAGTAACAGCTTTCAGTTCTACAATTATTTCTATGCAATAACCTCTAGAATAATTTGGAAATATAGCCATTACCGTCTACCTAATAACCGTTACGATAATACAATAGACTTTGCAACCCATATTGCACCATTTTCTAGCATATATAAATAGTCGAGCCAAAATACAATACACATGGCCTGAAAATTGCGTTCAAGTAATAAACAAATATATATATATATATATATATATATATATATATATATTGCGCTTTATATATGCGTATTATATACTGAAAAATGAACATAGAAGAAGATATGACCGGAATTATGCGAGAGACTATCATATGATTTGACCATCGAATTATTCAAACAGTATAGACTTGCTGCCACTTGGTACTAAGCAAAAACTACGTGGTACTACAGATGTAGAAATACATTCAAATATAAAGTAAATCGTTGACTATTAGAAATCTTACTGTACATATGAAAGTCATTTAAAGTTAAGACATTTCACTTGCGACTAGAATGGCATTATTTTGTCTTCAACGCCAACACTTACTCTTCTTTCATCTCGTCATATGGAAATATATAATAGCTTACGCATGCGCACGCATCTGCTTTTGCAATCAGTCAACGCTAAATGCGGCTTTATTAAAAATATTTAAAAGATTTTTTAAATACAGGCAAGTTGCTTTGGATAAAATAGATTTTATGAGCTGTGTGTATTTAGGGTCGGGAAAAAGAGTGTGAATCGTTAGTTACACTGACTTCTTGTCAGGATTTTAAGTGTTTCAGCAGAAGATGATTCTGATTTTGCTTCTTTAAACATATGTGGTTGTTGCGTCATTGTTTTAAGAAGGAGTGAAATTAAAAAATGTGTTTCTCACCATGTCGCAAGTGAGAGAACTGTATATGGTTCTCATTTCCGTAGAACCATATTAAATATGTTACAAAATATGATTCTAATCTGTCATCACCATAATGCAGTGAAGTCGCATTTATCCCAGAGTAGTAATAATGATCCTGGCACAAGGATAGTGAGTTTTCCTAGGAGTTTAAGCTTACTAAATATTATCTACTCTGAAATCTATTAATTTCTATCACCATTCCAATTCCATTATGAGAAAAACTGAATACACGCAGAACCTGTATGTATGGGCGAGTGGCCGACTGGTTAGATGGTTCTCTCAGTGACCATGATTACCGGATTCGAATTTCGCCATGGTTGATTATATCCATTTGGGGAAACACCTTTTGAAAGTGTCTTAAAATCATACCACAGGTTAACCCTAACCTTGTGAGTGGAATTGGGTAGATGGAGCCGTTTGGAAGAGACATTGTGTCCGAGGGCTTCAGTATACATGCTTACCTTGATTACTCACGTTAGATTATGTGCTCTCTCCCCGAAACTCTAACTAAGGTTCGCTCAACATAGTTGCAGTATAAACAGAAGGTGGGCACTTTAGGTTGAGTGGGTGTCTGTAATAGAGTGCGGCTAACCAACCTGGCAAATGTGTGTGCTCCTACTAATTAACCCATAGATAGGAGGAGAAGAGGTGAATTCATACCTATCCGCAAGGATATTTGCGTGTAAGTAAATATAATGAACCCGACTGGAATTGGAACTGGGCTGTTCGATTTACATCACCTGCCCATCAAAGCTAACATTACCTGGTATTCCCAAGCGGTCACCTATCAGATGACTATGACTTGGTCATCGAAACAAAACAGGCTCTGGTGGATAACGATTACCGTTCCTGCAAAGCTTTCGACTTTAATATCAGTCTGGACCTGACAGTAGTCATGTTTCCATGGCCATAAATTGAAGGTGGGAAACAAATCCATATCCTTTCGGAGTTGAGTAAATCCCATGCGTACATTTTGGAAAAGGGAAAATCATTGATCAAGCAGTCCATCGATTTACCTGTGATGAATGTGGCAAAGTATATATCTCTAATACAGACCTCGTTAGCCGCCAGAAGAGTCATATTGGCAGACCTATGAAAAATTACGTTGGGAATAACTCAACATGCGGGGGTTGTCAGAAGAGCAGCAGAAACCGCACCGGTATCATCCGTCACATGAAAACCCACGAGCAGAATTTACAAAACAGCCCAGGACCTGTACAGAACAACTTAGTTTGCCACATATACCATAAAATTGCATGTCACTTGCTGGCTGGTGTCGTTCTGATAAGAACTAAAACCATGGATCAAACTTGTCAGTGATGGCCATACTCGTTTAAGGAGTCGACAGTCATCATGTACATCCTATAAACTCTCTTGTGTAGAATAGGATTTCTGTCTTAATAGCTTCCATATTTCCGTTTCCATATATTTATGCTAGTTCCACTGAGCTGTCTGTCACATGCTAGCATATGCACGGAATCCTTCAAACGTCTGATTTTCCAATGTTCTTTTCTAGCTAGTATCTTTATTTAATTCCACAGAGTTTGGTGAGAAGCCTTTTCTCTCCATACACAATCAGCTATACCTGATATCATAAGCCAATTTTACCGGAAATTTACTTTAATTCCTAAATCCATACAGGACAAAGACAAGGAAAAATCATGTAGCAACCCAGGCACAGACTAACAAGAGATGCTCAGCATCATACATACCCTTCAGTGTGATAGCTATTCAACAAACACGACATTAGTTTCTATAGGCAGAGAAAGAAGAATCAAGGAGGAGGATGAGAAAAACTGCTCTTGAATGTCAAGGCCATGTCGGTAAAGATTAAAAAGATCTGCAGTCTAAAAAACACCAGGACAATGTTCAGAAATAACTCAAACATTTTGTCGTGTCAATCCTAACACAGTAGAAAATATAAACAATGTGTATTCTATCCGTCGAAGTTGTGGTGGAGAATATAAAGGTAGAACCATTTGAATCCTAAAAGTATGGCAGGAAGAACATTGAAAACCCTCAATTAGGGGTGAGACAGTAAAATCAGACATATTAGTTCATATATGTAGGGAGATGAAGGTTTCACTCAACAGAGATGCTTGATCTGGTTTGACAATTTGATAATTGTGAATTCACTTCCTGGGTCGAGTATTACCATAGTACGTCATAGTGTCAAAGGACAAAATGTCGAACGGACAAAATGACGAATGAAAAAAGAATCGAACTAAATGATGAATGGACATAAAGTCGAAAAGACAAAGTTTCAAAAAGTCAAAATGTTAAAGAAAGCAAAAACGAACATAACGTCATGATTTTAAAAAGTCTGTTCAAATAAACAATTAAGTTATTTTAAACTTTTTATTGCTTAACTTTGGCATAATTTAATAAATAATATCCTTCAAAGTGATTAAGCCTCCATGATCATGGGTTAGCAGTTTATTACGCTCTATTATTTACACACACACACACACACACACACACACACACACACACACACACACACACACACACATATATATATATATATATATATATATATTGGGGACTATGAATAGGCGCCTACCTCACAATTCAGTTTATTTACTAACATAAATTAATCAGAACTTGATATAGGCAACGGAATGAGAACAATCTATTCATGTAGATTTAATTCGGTTCAGTTTCAAATTCCTAGAAGGTTACCCGGACCGACAGACACCTGAAGAAGGTAAGGGAGTACATGGGTCGAAACATTGTGGTCGTAGCAACAAAGATTTATTTCGACTGTAAGTAATGAGATATATTCTCTGTCCTAAAATTCCTGATTTATAACAATTCATTGTTGTATGTGTTTGTACAACTGTAAACAATTAAGTTTTATCTTCACCTCTGAATGAGTGAATGTAATTAATTACTAACTTGATTCAGATGATAATTCGGAGCCCATGAGTCATGTCATAAAATGAGTTCAGAAAAAAAACAATAATGTTGCAAAAATAATCTTGGTAAAGCTGCCTTTGAGACTCATCAGGAAGGCTACCATTTTGAAGTCTGCAATAACCTTCAACCGTATTTTTAATATTTTAAGGCATCTAGCAAGTTATTACCTCGAACAGACTGATCACATTGTGGCAGAAGCAAGGATTATCTTGACGGGTGAAAAAGCTTTAAAATTCTGGTGACGCATTCTTTAACCTGCAAAATTTCATCGAACAAACTCCACTACTCGAGTCTCAATGTCAAAAATTTGGCATTGGATTTTGGGGGACCAAGATTCCTCATCAGGTCGTTGACTTTTTGGTTGGGGAAGTATAGGTTTCTCCCTCAGTTGTGCCTCTGTAATCAGGATCAATGACATCATCCTCTTCTGAATTGCTATTCTTTTACTTTGGAGACGGAATGGGTACACGGGGAGCTCAGGGTGATGTGGCACTGAGGCGATGGATGACAGAAGGTCTGGATATATGATAACATGTGCATTCTTGTTAGATCGATGTCTGGAAGGGTTCACCATGCAGAAGAAAGCAATTGCTTGAGTTTGTCAATTTGTTCCCTCCAAATTTGCAGGATCGCGAATTTCATGGTTCCATTTTCTCCTCTATACCATTCTGTAAAAGACCAAAATAAAACTACGAATATAAAAATGCAAATATATTTCGACCAGTGTTATTGAAAAATTCGAAAAACTGAAATTTTTGATTTTTGAAAAGTCGTGCGCTGGATATGTAAAAATTCTGGATTTTGACCCCAATTAATGTTGCAAATGCCACAAAAATACGAAATCTTGAATACTTATTTCCTTTCATCTAGAGAAAAATGTCTTTAGATGCCTAGAGTAGACTCTTCTTGAGCAAGATCAGACAAGCCTAATTTAAATGAAAGCGTTTTGGCAAAAATCATATCCACCATTGAAAAGCATTGAATCCTCGCGATTAGGATTAAATGTTGTACTGTATTCTCAAAATCATCTATATACACATTAATAAAATTTCAAGATTTACATTTAATAAAAAACATTATCAGTTACAAGCAAATCAAGTCCAGGTGTCGCTGCTGATGGTCTAATTAAGCTCATTTATCTGAAGAATGGTGGGTCTATCACTAATACCTGCCAAGTCGGATCTGCCTTCGAGGGTGAAACCAGCGCGGGCTTTATAGTGAGAAACGGCTGCGGCGAAAACCGCGTGGGATTTTTCTGATAGGTCAGAAAAGATGTTTTATGATCCTGGCATGCGGGGGGGTCCGAAGTGGGTGCGCGTAGCCGGATAAAATTAAGGTCTAAGGGAGCACTTCTGTTTATGTTAAAGAACCGGAGTTCCGAAGTTATTTCAACCCAGCAATCTAAATACACTGAGAGCATTAACTGATCGGCAAGTGACCAAGCTATTAATATTTTACACAGTTAACAGATTTGTAAAAACAATAGAAAACACGTTCTTAACAGACCTAGTCTAGTGTTTTCAGCATTTTCAAATTAAATTAGAATAAAGTAAAATTTAATATATTAGTGTTATGTTTCTACCTTCCAGTTAGACGGGACAGCAGCGGCAGTGTTTAATTCAGTGTTGCTAGTGGCTTTGGTTGCCAATAAAACTTACGGCGAAGGAGGACACAAGTCTGACATGTACAAGAACTTATTCAATTGGAAATTCACAGGTTTGTTCAACATTTTCAACTAGTTTACAGTTCAGCTTTCTATTGCTGAGTGTATATGATGTGTAAAAAGCTCATATTCTCCGCCATTACATCCCCGGTGCTCTAAAATCCTATACGATGTAATGTCAAAGTCTTAAAAGAATGCAACAACAGAAAAAAAAACTTGAATAAAAGCAGGAAAAGAACTGAAATACACATTATTATGATATCGATTTAGTAAATACTAAGAAACAATGTTCGAGCTTCAAAGAGATTTAATATTTTTGCAGTTCAATAAAATCAGATAAAATGTTTGCTGTAAGAAATAGTGAATGATTCTTAAATGAAAATCCACAAATTCCTACAGTGACCCCAAAAGATTTGTGCGAATGCAGAGTAAAATAAATACTTTATATTAAACTATTTCCTTTAATCTAGAGAAAAAATGTCTTTAAATCCTTCTACTTTGTGCTAAAACTGAAAAGAAAACATCAGACTACAAACTATGACATGCTATTATTTGCCTAACAGCATCACTACCATTCATTTTCAAAATTCAGTTGACGCTTTTAGCATCCTATTCTCAGATCGCTTTTAGTACTCGACACAGACATCGCTTTTAGCGTCCGATTCTGTCACAGTTTTTAGTATCCGATTCAGTTCCCACTTTTAGTAACCGATTCAGTCATCGCTTTCGTATCTGATTCAGTCACCGCTTTTAGGATCTGATTCAGTTCCCTCTTGTAGCACCCGATTCAGAACATCGGTTTTAGTACCAGATTCAATTTCCACTTTTAGTACCCGATTCAGTCACCGCTTTTATCATCCGATCCAGTTCCCATTTTTAGTACCTAATTCAGTTTCTACTTTTAGTATCCGATTCAGTTCCCGCTTTTAGTACCTGATTCGTAAAAAAATTAAGCATTTAATATATAAGAAATTTTACAAGTAAATGATCTCTTTGTTGGCATTATGATGAACTATGAATCAATCTATATCTTAGATATCTATTTATAATAAATGGCTAATGTGAAATAACCGAATACAGTAAGATGTCATAATGGAAAATTAGCTTGATGCTTTAATTTATTTTCTTGTTGACGTTTTGCTACTTTTATAAAAGCATTATTAAAACAAAATTGAAAAAAATAAATCTCGGAAAAAGTCGTTACCATGACAGCCATGCTATTTAAAAACTGCGATCAACTGGGGGAAAAAATCACTTGATAAAATTGAAAAGTCTATCCGGGAACAAATCAGAGAGATTAGTACATAGGAAATACAGTAAGTATTATAATAGTGGTTCTAGAATTCATTTAATTCATTAAAATCATTTTTAATATTTTTATTTTCATAATTTTTATTATAATACATTTATTATAATTTTCATCTTCTAATAAATCATAAATGTTTTGCGGGTTCACTTAAAAACGAATAACAAAAGATATTTTTTCAATCACTTCATTGTCATTTAAATATACCTGTGAGACTCTCAAAATTCTTTTTCTATGTGCCGTGTCCCTTCGGGACGTTGGCGATCATGGCTCTTCACAATATCCGGTCCTTTGTAGCTTTTAATACATTTTGTCCTTCTGTTATCTCACCAAGGCTTGTGTGAATGACGGGGGCAAATAGTTTGAACATTTGAGGAAGTGATATGTTGATTATAGATTATGTATAATATTGATATATTTGTATAATCAAGACAATATATTTGGTGTGCACGGGTTTTGGTTTTCATTACTGTATACCTACTTTTGCACCCTTTAATATAAATATGGTGATTTGACATAGGAAAATAAAATCAATGAAAGAAATTTATGGTGTGGAAAATAAAATGCGTAAACCCAAGAAAAAATAATGAATACTAATGATAAAAAAATGTAATTCATGATTAGATATTATTTAGGTGTTAAGGAAAATATAATATTTGATTCAAATTTTATGAAGATGTTTAACCGGTACTTGTTTTAATAGCATTTTCCTTAAGTCATAATCAGAAAATGTGATTTATAATAAAAATCGATTTTGATGAATCGATTTTTTTTTAAGGATGGGTTGTATTTCGTAAATAGGAGAAACAATGAGTTTAATGTATCCTCGATTTTTTTTATAGTATTTTAGGGTTTATAAACACGTTTTATAAACTTTGTTGTGCTTCACCAATATATTTTTTGTACATGGGATCATATATATATATTTTGTACATGGGATTATATATATATATTATAAATTATATTCATGCGAAATTTTTCTGCAGCTATTTCTTTCCCTCCATATGAAATCAGTTTATTTATTATTTACTTATTTTTAAATCGACTCTTCAACTGTAAACCTCTTGTTTTAAATACCATATTAATGAAGTATATTACAAAGTTTACACGCATTTATGCGCGCAACTAATTCGTATTAATCCCAATTTGAACTTAGGGGAGACAACTCTCATTGACAAAATTAAAAACTGACTATGAAGGATTCAAATAAATTCGAATTAAGCGAATAGAAAAATGATTCGGCTGTTCGAATCAGGAAACAACTGTGAATGCCACAAAAATACGTTATCGGAAAGCGTTTTCTTCCTAACATAACATCTTGCATTGTAACCAATAAATAGATAGATAAATAGATATTAAAAAAGAAATACTTGGACTAAACCTTACCGAATGAAATAATAAAAGAATACATGAAAAAAAAAAAAAAAAAAAAGAAAGAAACTCTCCTAAAAATACGAAAAAAACAAAAAAAGAATTAAAACAAGCAATACAAGTAAATATGTTGTTTCAAGCACAACGTAAAGGGCTCTTCTCTGGTGTCTATTTCTTTATTCTACTGATAACATTTGATGCTAAAGCGTTTAAAAAATTATTTGAGATTTAAATTCGATTTGCAAACATTTTTATTCCCTGATCGATTTCTATTTCAGGAATTGATGGTCCGGTAATTATTGATGACAAAGGTGACCGGAAACAAAAGTACATGCTTCGAAATATATTTCAAAGACAATACCACATAATAAAAATGAATGAGTATGACAATTGTTTTTTTACAGCTTCAGTATTTTGCTACAATGAACGTACAGGGTGCCCAATAAAAAAAAGCGGTAAATTCAGAAAGAGCGAAGCAACCGTTGAAAACATGTGACTGAAAAATTCAGGAAGAATTTCTGCACATTTCGTCAATCCTCAAGTCGAATGTTCTTTGAAAAGTGCGATAACTTGACGCTCAAAATCAATTGTTTAGCCATACGAGAAGGGCAGAACAAAAGATGAAAGTTGTCTGAAAATAACTTTTAAATGACGTGTCACAAGATCGAGCAACAATTAATCAATCATAAAAAAACCAATCAGAGTTAAGTAATTACGCTAGAGTCGAATGATTATCCAAGGTCATGAATATTCAAGAAATATTTTTTATTCAAGGTCAATTATTCCTGAAGGATAAAATAGTGAGAATATATTTGCTGCTTTTTTACTGGGCACCTTGTATGTTATTATCTTTGCTGACCACTTAACTCTTCATTATGTGATGATCGCACTTTAAAAAACAGCAAATCTCATCATATTAAATAAAATAAAAAACTAAATGATATAGAGGTTAACACTCAGATACACAAATGAAAATTATCAGGTTATTTTCATCTTGTGATGGCAACACGGTTTAAAATCAACTTAAAAAACAATATCAGAGGATATTTTTTCAATCACTTCATTGTTATCTAAAGAAACCTATGAGACTCTCAAAAATCTTTTTTTTTTGATGTGCTTATCACTTCGGGACGTTGGCGATCCTGGCTCTCCACTATATCCGGCCCGTTTTAATACATTTTGTTCTTCTGTTATCTCTCCAAAACCCTGTTCCGATATTCATCTACTCAAGCTGGCCAGATAGCTTATGAATTTCCTCACTTCCGCTTGCCTTCAATCTGCACTGTGAGTCACTACCAAATTTTCAAAGCCCTTCTTCCTCATTATGTGCCTTAGGAATTTCAAATGTCTTTTCCTGATGTTACGCATGTTTCCTTTTTGTTTGCATTTTCTCTAAAACGTCATCATTGCTCACATGTTCGGCCCATGTTATTCTTAGCATCCTTCTGTAGAATCATATTTCTGTTGCTTCAAGTCTCTTCTTCATCTATGAGGAAATTGTCAAGTATTCACTGCCATATAGGAGGACAGATATCATGTAACAGTTTAGTACTCTTTTCTTTGTTTCTAACGAAATTTTCCTGTCTTTTAATACTTTACTTAACTTTTGGAAGGCAACTTTCGCTATCCCAATACACCTTCGGATCTCAGTGTCGCACTTTCCATCCTCTGGTAAAACACTTCCCATATAGTTAAATGTTCGTATTTCTTTGATTTTGATATCTCCAATTTGTAATTTGCATGTTGGGCTGTTCCTTTTCCTAACAACCATGCATTCAATTTTCTTGCAATTGATGTTTAGTCCTTTCTTCTCACTTTCCTTCACTCCCTTCTGTAGGAGCTTTTGTAGTTTCCTTTCTGTGTCATCTGAATATTTTATGTCGTTAAGATTGTGGCCGCCAATAATAAATACTCTAGGACTTCTAATTATCTCAGAATCGTCACATTGTATAACTTGAGTAAGTCCGATGAGAAGACACATCCTTGTCTTACACCTCTTTCTATTTTTGTATATTTATTAAACTCATTTTCTATCTGTATACAGGCGGTTTGATGCCAGTATAGGTTCTGGATCATTGTAATATTCTTCCAAAGTTCTTTGTGACATATTTTATCAAAAATGCTTTTGCATAATGCATCAAACATAGGTACACATCATTCTGCCTTTGTATTGCTCTTTCTGATATCATTTTGAGCATAAATATCACGCATTCCTAGTTCAAATGTCTTCAACGAACCCGCAAAGTTCTTGTCCTATTTCAGGTTTGATTCCACTGTTTGATCTATTCATCAGAATTTGTATGATGTGAATTCTATTGATCAATCAGCCTAATGAGCCATATGATAAAAAAATCATATGGCTCATTAGGCTGATTGATCAATAGAATTCACATTCCTTTGCACCTGGCTTTTTACTTAGGGGTCTTCCGGTATATCACCACTGTTATATATTTCATTTATTATGTCTAATATTGTTGTTATCACGTGATATTAAATAAATTATTGAAGACATTTTGCTTGAACTGAAAGATTTATTCACAGTTTATATATTATTTTAAATTTGTTTTTCCTTGTCTTTCTGTTCCAAGTTTGAACGGAGGGGTGATAGATTTTACACGTACATGAATCGTAAATGAGTTCCAGCTTTCATTTTCCTACAAGTTTTTAACTACATGCAATATTGTTTTGTTTTTATCCTCGTTAAATTTTATTCTAATTCTAGTGGATTGTCCTGATTTAGAAATAAATATTTTTTCATTTATTGAATGAAAAGTAATGATAATTGTCATTCCCTTTCTTATTTCCTTCAGTAATCAGAAAATCGTTAACCTTTCTCAAATT